TTGTGTATACTGTATAGCGGTCTCAGCCAAACAATATTAAGAGGCACTGCATTGCAATGCTTTGCAACGTCTCATTGACGAGGCCGTTGGTGCCACTGGCAGGCCTGTGGTGCCCCTGTTAGGCCTCTGGTGCTCCAGAGGGGACACCATAGGCCTGACGGGCCTGTGGTGCTCCTGCTAGGCCGCATGGTGCCCCTGGGTCCTGGCAGGACTGTGGTGCCCCTGACAAGCCTGAAGTGCTCCCGACAGGCCCGTGGAGCCCTTTACAAGCCCAAGGTGCACGTGCGAGGCTGGTGGTGCCCCTGTGAGGTCGATGGTGCCCCTGGCAGGCCTCTGGCTGGTGCCCCTGGCAGGTCTGTGGTGCCCCCTGACAGACCTGTGGTGCTCTTGCTAGGCCGATGGTGCTCCTGCAGGCCTGTGGTGCCCCTAACAAGCCTGTGGTACCCCTGACAGGTCCGTGGTGCCCCTCGGCCGGCCGAGTCGCCGGCCCGCCCCGCGTCACGGCCCCGGACAACCGGTCCGCTCATGATATCCCAACATCGCAACACTAGGCCTGTGGTGCCCCTAATAGGTCGGTGGTGCCCCCGGGTCCCAGGGGAGGTCATGAGTGACCCATATTATGACCCCCCTCCTTTGGATCCGCCACTGTGATCTGATCACAACCACCAGAAATAAATAATCGTATAATCATCAATTGCTTCCCTTGTATTCAACATACGAGAAAATTGACAACACTATTGCCGGCTGGGTCATTTATGACCCAAGCATATTCATCGAGGAAAAAAAGTTATCCGATGGCGACAAGAAGGGCAAAAATATACATCATGTCTTTTTCAGACAAATTTAGATGCAAGGTGGACGATCATTCAATAGATAGTAAAGTGCAAACATAACATAATATTACTTTTTGGGACGGCGCGCCATTGCCAGTGACCGCCGGCTGTGCAGTCCCGTCGTCTTTGGCTCCAGAAACTTCAGTGGACGAGCTCACACGAGTTTTATGCGGCTCCGACGCTCGTCGCTGAACCCACAAATCCAACAAAACACACGCACAAGTTCCTCAAAGTGCCACTTGCCTCCATTTAGAAAAAATGTTAAGATGTTGCTTTTGGGTCATATATGACCCAAGCGGCATTAATGGGTTAAACTGTAAGCCTGTATTGGTATTGTTTCTTTTATTTGGCTGTCGAACATTATTTATGGTTTGAAATATGATTTTATGTAAAATAATTGATATGAAAAAGCCGTCTCATAAGTTATGACCCCATTTCACCACACGCAAGTGGCAGAAATGACAATGATCAGCTGACGCATTTTTATTGGCCGAAGTCAGAGCGCGCAGCCCGACGCACCACCACCGCACCACAAAGTATGAGCAGAAGCCGCGCCCAAAGCCAGGGCCCCGGTAACGTGAGGTAGCCGAGTCGGGGCAGCGTGCGCTGACCCAAGCCGGGGCCGCAGCTTTGGGCGCGGTCTACCGCATCCCCGCGGGCAGCCCCGGGCTATCACATGACACCGGGAGGACGCGCGGCTCCGGCTTGGGTCAGCGCACGCTGCCCCGACTCGGCTACCTCACGTTACCGGGGCCCTGGCTTTGGGCGCGGTCTACCGCACCACCTAACAGGCGTGTTCGAAACCGCAGGAGCTGATGATGAACGGGTTTATCGAAACTTGATTGGATGAGCATATCGGTAATAGCGATTTCAGTGTGTGCATTCATTGTTCATAGTGGTGTGAAATGTGGTTGGGGTACGACCGACAACCCGTCGGGGCGAATTTCGCACTGGGTACTCAAAATTTGAAGAATTTAAGACGTTTCCATGAGTTTTGAAGGTATGGATAAGTTCTAAGAATCCGGTTCTCCTTATCTGGGCCATTAACTCCATACGGTCCAGGAAAGCTGGCACACTACCTTTAATGAGCTGTGCGGTCCATTGCAGCCTCAAAAGTATGCGCCTCCGTATGCTATCGGAAATACGTGGACCTGACGTGACTCGAGTGTCCCGAGGTGACCGAGATTGCACACTTCGAGCTAATATTGATATATGGCACCCAGTAGATTGACAGTGAGATTATTAGTGCGTCACCATATCCAGCACCTGTTTGCCCGAATGGCGGGAATTCGGCTCACTCGAGAGGCACACTGATATGACAGCTCAGGGTGTCAAATGTCAATCACGGCTGAAAAGTCTCTGAGTAGTTCGCACCACTTCAGATAACGTATCATATGTCTTTGAAGTTAACGCCAATGCGTTTGGTGCGTGTTGAATATTAATTCTGTTCTTGACATTATCTTGAAACTCAGCTCAAGTATGGTTACTGTTGCATGTATTGAAGTGCACGAGATACAAAGGGAATAGGCAAGGCATGCTATTTAAAGGTAGTGTGCCAGCTTTCTTGGACCGTATGGAGTTAATGGCCCAGATAAGGAGAACCGGATTTTTAGAACTTATCCATACCTTCAAAACTCATGGAAACGTCTTAAATTCTTCAAATTTTGAGTACCCCAGTGCGAAATTCGCCCCGACGGGTTGTCGGTCGTACCCCAACCACATTTCACACCACTATGAACAATAAATGCACACACTGAAATCGCTATTACCGATATGCTCATCCAATCAAGTTTCGATAAACCCGTTCATCATCATCTCCTGCGGTTTCGAACACGCCTGTTAGGTGGCTTCTGATGCTCGTCGAGGTCGGAATTTCCAAATACGCGTGGTGCGTCGGGCCGCGCGCTCTGACTTCGGCCAAGAAAAATGCGTCAGCTGATCATTGTCATTTCTGCCACTTGCGTGTGGTGAAATGGGGTCATAACTTATAAGACGGCTTTTTCATATCAATTATTTTACATAAAATCATATTTCAAACCATAAATAATGTTCGACAGCCAAATAAAAGAAACAATACCAATACGGGCTTACAGTTTAAGGCTCGACATTGTGTTGTCTACGATTAGACAGCTGATAACTCATTCCCGTACGTCGTATGGTCGTAACACTATAATGACCTTTGCTTATTGTCACAAGTGCGCCGCATTCGCGATTGTTGCCCGACGCCTGTTTGCAGGTGAGCCCACTACAGTTGTTATACATATCTAAAAACCGAAAAACTTTTAGGCGAAAAAGGCACTATTCCAGGCCCATTTTTGATTTTTTTGCGATATTAGGTAAAAACAGAAGCTTCTTATCCTAGGAAAAATAAAATGGGAAATCTTTCAAAGGTGGCACACTACCTTTAACCCGCGCCGGGTCGGTGCACCGCGACTTCCGCGCCGGGCCGGGGTGGGGTGTCTGAACACCACCGTCTAACTCGGCTCCTGGGCCACGTAGCGACACGCGGTAAGCGGAATTCGAAAGAGCGGCAAAAATAAGGACGAAAACACTTCAGTCATTTTTTGGGTCAGGTCAAAGGTCAGGTCGCCAGAGGTCATCAAAGGTCAAATGTAGTCCATTTCAACAATTTTGGAAACTGCCAACGGCTAACTCGGGAACCAATAGAGCTACAGCGCCTTGGAAAAGCGCATTCGATAGCCCTTTTACAGACCTTTCTGAGTTATGTGCTCAGATTTGACCTCAGGTAAACGGCTTAGCCTCCAGAGGGCAAAAACTGTAAAAATAGCAGTTTTCACGAAAATGGTTTTTCGCCAATAACTTTTGACTCAAGAGAGCCACGACATTACGTTTGGCAGCATCATGTTCCTCTCGTCGAGACGCGTCGAATGAACTATTTGTTGACCTTGAAAGGTCATTTGGAAAATTTGACCTCAGGTCAAGGTCATGACCTGACCGGAAAGGGTCATGTTGCATATCAGTCGATCCGTATCGTCGAACTGAATACATCTGACGTGTTTTCATCGCTCTAGCACGTCTTTATCAAAAGCTATAGCCAAAAAAACTGCTGGTGACCGTTCATGACCTAAGATGACCTCAGGGGCACACAGAGGGGTCACAAGTGCATTTTCCGTTTCAGTGTGTCATGTTTACCTACGAACCGATGTTTGTGAGAGTTTTGAACATCATTCGTCCAAAAGAGGCGCATTTCAATTTTCTCCCATTGACTTATCCCATTGACAATGGAGAGGTCGCAAAATTGACCTGACCTTAGATCACCGATATCAAAATTCCGACGAGATTAACATTTTGTACATACTGTTACTCTTATCAATCGCTGAAAGTTTCAAGGCGATCGTTCAGTCGGTGTAGCTGTGAAGAGGATTGAAACTTTTTCTGAGGTGAGGTCACTTGACCTGACCTGGTGACTTAACCTTGAGAACCCTGGGCCTGAAATTTTTGCAACATGTGTGGAAAAGGTGCATGAACAGGTGTGCCAAAAACGTCTGCGAAAAACCACAGGGGCGGTGGGGGGGGGGGTGTTCAAACACCCCCGGCCCGGCGTGGGTTAACACTACATGAATGGCGTAACATCGATTGCAATTCATTAGCGGCTAACAGATATGTCAAATGCATGCCTCATTTCCATATATTCGTATTACGAATGCATTTCTCTCTTAATTTATAGCCTTGTATGCGTCGATTCCGCTTTTTTTTACAAGCACCGATAAGCCGTTCCCTATGTCAGTGCCGAACACTATGCCACGGTACCGACTGGCCGTTACACCCTGGCCCGGAAGAACTGCTACAAGTGTTACAATGACCATCTCTGGCCAGCGCGGCACATGACCTCTCGAGGGCCCACGCTCCACTGTCAGCCCCCCCCCCCCCCTGCCTCCCCCCAGCCGTCACACTGTCAACTGGCACAGGCACGAAATATTGCACAGTCATGAAATCACGATCGAAATGTCAGCATTGCGTGACGAATATATACACATGTACGTCAGCCAGCATTTCACGCGGACGAAAGCTCAGGCAGCAGCATTTGAAAACCTGTTGACCGAGTGAGATATATTCGACCGTTAAAAACTGCCTTTGAACTGAATTGCATCTTTAACTGCTAAATCATGTGACTTCCTTTCTCAGCGGCCAAAAGCTGTTTCATTCAAGGACGTGTCGTTGGCCAGGGGTGTGACAAGTGACCCGCAGTGTGGTGGTTTCAGAGTCGCCCACGTACATAACTATGCAGCGAACTGACACACACCGCGAAATGTCACGCCATGGGACGCGTCAAGAGGACATAATGAAGCTCATCGTCCGCCCGCTGATTTGCTAGCGGGGCTCGGATATAAAACGACAGCTGCCCACAGAGACACCCACCATCGCCTGCTGCTGCTCACCACCGAGCGCCTGTGCGCCGCCCGACACAGAGCTGTAAGTAGCAGCGCCTTCCATGGTAACGTATGCCTTCATGGAGCCCCAATCGTATAGAACGCCGAACCCAAAGACTCGGATCTGATTAACGTAATGCTTTAATGACAATTGGTCCTTCGGCTATTTCTCTCGTTCTCATTTCAACGAAAAACATTACTTCTAAATATCAACATACTACAACATACCTACATCATACATCATACAACATACAACATACATCAACATACCATATTTCTATTTGTTTTATTTTCTCAGCAAGGCAGGCGTCAACATCGCGGTCGATTTTCTTCTAGCTTCCAAGCAACCATGTCGAGGTAAGCTTTCTGAAAATTTAAATTAAAAACCTTGCCAAAACATTCACGAGCCAAGAGACGGCCTGGCTACACTATGCGTTTTCTGCTTGCGTTTTTTTTCTTGCGGGTTTGCGTTTTTTTTGCGTAAAAGCGTTCTAGAAAAAAAGTTATAGGTAAGTAATACAACATGTAAGTACATTAGTTATATGCAAAAGTTTATATAACTCTTTTATTAACTAATATTTAATGTAAAAAACATCACAAAAATGTAAAATCGTTATTTTTTTCTAGAACGATATTACGCAAAACCCGCATACCCGCAAAACAACGCACGCAGAAAACGCATAGCGTAGCCAGGCCTTTAAAGCCTAAGGAAAAACATAAATGCAGTATGCAGTCGTAAATTCCCATTTTTATATCATATTTCGGACTAATATATATTTTGAACATGATTATTTCTTTGGGGCTGTATTGAGTTTAACATCTGTTGAGCAAAATATTCAATCAAGTTTTCAATCAGTCTAATTCTATGCCTACTTACCTACCAGTGTACGCTATCAGCTCATTTTATTAAGTCCAATGAGTAAACCATGTTTAGCGAAGTATACGACATTTGAGCATTTCGTCATTTCCTGTCCGCATCTGTTGTTAGATTCACCCAACTGATGCTCGCGTCGGTGGGCCTGTTGGCCGTACTGAACGCTGGGCACGCTAAGGTGTTCGGACGCTGCGAACTGGCCAGGAAACTCAAGGCCCTTGGTATTCCTAAATACCAAATAGCTGACTGTGAGTATAATTGATTTTGCATTATCATTTACCACCCGGCGCATAACGGTGCTAGTCTAAAATTAGCCGTTAATTGAAGCATGGACCTTCGTAAACATCAAAGGGGAAGCCTGCGGAAAAAACACAAATCTTAATTGGCTATTGATCTCTAATGTAGCTCCAAAACGACCGCGAATATCTCATTATCTTCATACATGGGTGTCTGGGCTACCGCGAGTCGATGACTGACTACTTCCTGCCGACAGGGGTTTGTCTTTCTGACTACTGTACTCGTATGTCGAGAGCGGTGTGTCTTTCTGACTACTGTCTGCCGAAAGGAGTGTGTCTTTCTGGCTACTGTCTGCCGACAGGGCTGTGTCTTACTGACTACTGTCTGCCGACAGGGCTGTGTCTTACTGACTGCTGTCTGCCGACAGGGGTGTGTCTTACTGACTACTGTCTGCCGACAGGGGTGTGTCTTACTGACTACTGTCTGCCGACAGGGGTGTGTCTGGCCTACCACGAGTCGCGCTATAACACGGCGGCCGTCGGGCGGCTGAACCGTGACGGGTCGGTCGACCACGGCCTGTTCCAGATCTCAGACATCTACTGGTGCGACTGGAAATCCAACGAGCCTCACCGGCGCTACAAGAATGTCTGCCGCAAAAACTGCAACTGTGAGTTGTTGGAATGCCTACATAGCAGATTGACAGATCGCTTTTGAAACGATACCTTTTTTCTCCTTCGTTTGTTAGCTTATTTTGCGATTTATTGAAAATTTAAATGAAACATTGGAAATGTATGAAAATGAAAGTCTGACGAAAAAATTGTTAGCTTGCTGATAATTTGTTTTCTTCATATGAAGCAGATAAGAAATGTAACTATCTTCCCTTGCAGCGTTCCGTGACAACAACATTGCCGATGACTTGGTCTGCGTGAGGAAAATCTACATGGAGCATCAGCGTCTGCAGGGCAATGGCTTCCTCGCCTGGTACGCATTCCAGACTCTGCTCGCAATACCACATCCCAAATGATCGATACACAACGTGCAGTGTGCACACCATGCGTACCTACATAGTTAGCAGTGCCCTTTGTAATGTGCCCCCCAAAGGAAAGTGTCATGAAAGTAAGCTTTCACAATGCACCGTCCCTCTAGCTCTTGAGGCAAACAAGTAAGGCATTTGATATGTTTGTATGCATGTGCATGAGTACGAGTGCGCCGCCAGACCACCGTATGTTCAAATAGGTTCACAACAAATAGAATGGTAATACAAGCGGCTGCGCCACTTGCTTTGCTGCGTGGTAGAAAAAAATTGCGGCACCAGCCAATTTGCTTTCGAATGGTGTTCGATTCAAATCGATGTGTCGTCTAGAAGCATAGATATGGACGGAAATGTGAAGAGAATTTAAAAAAGAACTGTTCTGAGGCCTTTGTTGGATGAAATTTGGCTGATACGGGGTCAAGACGGGCCAAAGGGGTCAGCCCCGGTCACTTTGGGTGAGGCCAGGTCACAAAGGTCACCTCTCGTCCGATGGGATCAGCCCGGGCCACTGTTCAACTTTTGCCTCCACCACTACCCCTTCCCCTACCACTACCCCTACCACTACCCCTACCCCTACCACTGCCCCTAACACTTGTATGTATGTATGTATGTATGTATGTATGTATGTATGTAGTATGTAGTGGTCGTATAAGCTCGCTGCTGACACCTAGTGTGGTGATTTCAGGGTGGCCTGGAGGAGTCACTGCCAGAACAGGAACCTGCAGTCCTACATCAGAGGCTGCCGCGTATAGCACTGCGCGAGCCGGCCACTGCAGCCTCCACCCCGCTGTGACCCGGGGCTGCGACCGGGCCACCGTGACCGGGCCACTGTGACCCGGGGCTGTGACCCGGCACTGTGACCTGGGGCTGTGACCCGCCGTCTGGCTCCGGCAGTCGACAGTCGGTCTCGCGGAGCCCCGCAGGCCAGGCCGGCCCGGCGACTCAGGCCACCGTCTGACTGGAGACAGTGTGTTATCGTTTATAGTGGGCCGGTGGTCGGTGACCTTCCTGGGGTATCCCGCCGTGAAAAATATACAAAATAGTTGATATGCAACACTGGTCGTGCAGTAAATCGTGCTCTGCAGTGTTTTGAACGTTCGGGCGCACCATTAGGCATGTCAGTAGTGAATAACTGGTGAATAAATGCAGTGCATTAATATGCACAGCTTTATTTTCCTATATCTGCAGAATTGCTCAAGGAATCAAGACACACGATTCAAAAGGTGTGAAGGATTATTCATGCGAATAACCGCGACATTTTCCCCTCAAGCAATAATGGAAGACGGGGGAACACCGACCCTATTAACCTTTCAGGGTCTAGTCACGTAATTTTTGGCCAGATGGTCAATCTCTCAGTTTCGTTGGATTGCAGCATTAATTTTACAAACATATCAACCAATTGTTTTTTTTGTAGTTTCATTCATAATTGCATTATTCCACATTTAGTAAATATTTTCATTTTTTCGGGGTGACACCGCCCATTGGGTCGCCCACAATATAACACTAGCTTCATCATAATCTTCTAACTAATATTTCAGAGAAAATACACCCACGGTAATAGCCTCTGAACTGAAACTGTAATGTCGCAGTTGCTCAGGTTGTCATGAAGTACTATTCTAAAATAAAAATAAATTTAATGAAGGCTGTATTTTACTAAAGTTCTAAAACCTGGCTTTAATGTCTGATTTTTTCATTTCTTTTAATTTCAGATCACAAAATTAAATTTTTACACGGCACACGCTAATAAAAAACAAAAAAATTCCTTTATTTATTTTTGTATATAGATGCCGAGTAGTAAAGTAATCTTGGATGCCGCCATAATCGCCGCCATCGCCGCCATAAACGTTTGCATAAACGTCCATAGATGCTGGGAGGGTGGAGTTGGTAGCTTATTTTTCGTTAAAATCATGGACAATTTAACCCTCGCCGGCCGAGGGGGGGGGGGGGTCGGGTGCCGCCCCCTCCATAGGGTTTTTTTTTCGCGATAGCTCCAAACACGCTGGCGATAGAGAGCTGAAACTTGGCATACCTGACCTTTGATCCAAGCCGCATCTTTTGACAACAACCGCATTTTTGGGTCAGGTCAGGTCACTGACCTATGACGTCATAAGTGAACCTCTGCACGGTCTTCAGATGTCGCAACTTCGCAACGCCCTCACTGCCAGAGGAGATGTCACAGGGAAATGAAACTTACAGGATCTAGTATCCATTATGAGTCTCACAACTTGTATATCTCGGATTTTTCCTAAAGGTCATATGAGGTCAGGTCATTTTCGTGACCTCACCATTATAAGTCAGTGGGAAAAAAATGAAAACTGCTATTCTGGCGCCGGGAACGATCTCCAACTATCTCAAGCACACAGAATCGTGATTTTATGCACTCCTTTAGCCAGGCCTAACATGGTTAGATAATAAAAAGTTTGGAACTCTTCAAATTTGACCATTTCAATGACTCCAATAAAATGGAGCCCAGTTAGGTATTTAGTGGTAACTTACCTATCAGTGTTAGTTATATTGGGAGGCCCATCAATTACCTTTCATTTGTGCATAAAACATTACTACATTCCTCGTAAAGTATCATGGGAGATCTCCCTAAAGCATTTTTCGAGAAGCATGGCAAAGTCACCCGGCGAGGCAAAGTCACCCCCGTTTACGGTACTAAAAGTATTCGTAGTGAAGACTTGAAACTTGGTGGATGTATGCTACATAGGTGTGACCTTAACCCTATTCCTGGCGGGGGGGGGGCCTCAGGAGCCCCCCCTGAGGTTTTTTGGTTATTTCTCCCAAACGCGTTGAGCTAGGAAGCTCAAAATTTCTGACTTTTCCTAAAAGGCTTCTACGCAACATGTCTAAAAATTTTGAGTTGATCTGACCTCAGGTCAGGTCACCAGAGGCGGTTTGGTGACCCTACCTCAGAAAAGTTTGCAATCACGCCAGAGCTAGAGTTTTTGACCGATCAATTTCTTCTCTTCAGGGTTTAGTTAGGGTACCAGTATGTGCAATTTGTATATCTCGGAATTTTGATATCGGTGACCTAAGGTCAGGTCAATTTCGCGACCTCCCCATTATAAGTCAATGGGGGAAAAATCAACTCCCTGTTTTTACCACTAAAACGGGTCGGAATGGCCCCATATACCTACCATACATGACTTCATATACGATCAACCTTCACTACCTTGAGGTCTGTTTTGCTGTTGGGCAGCTGTGAGGTCATGTGACGTCATCAAAGGTCACCAAAGGTTTTTGGCCAATAACTCCGTACAGGAACAAGATACAGACGCGTGGATGGTCTCATTGTGTTCAGCTCGTCAAGACGCATCGAATGATATACATGATGACCTCGAGGTCACGTGACCTGAGGTCAACCTTTGACCTTGACCTTTCGAGGTCAACATATATATCATTCGATGCGGATTGACGAGAGGATCACGATGATGCCCTTAGTTTGTTCCTATCTTGACTAATTCGAAAGTTATTCGAGAAAAACTCTCTCCATATCTAGCGCCGCCATTTTGACTTTTTCGACCCCTGTGACGTCATCTTTGACCTGACCTGAAAATGACCTTAGCCAAAATTGTAGATTTTGGCCGTGCGTATCCGATGCCGTTTACCGCTTGTCGCTATCTTGCTTCGTTCTCGAGATCTCAGGGGGGGGGGCCGAATCGGCCCCCCCCCGCCAGTTTCTTGTCCCGGCGGAGCCCGCCAGGAATAGGGTTAAGTGGCCGAAGTTTGGTGATGATCTGAATAAAACTTCCGAAGTTATTCGAAATTTGGTGATGACCGTTTTTTTGTGTCACCCTGTATATGCTCTGTAAGGAGTAATAGCTGCACCTGCACTGGTCGATCCAAGGGTGATATTTGACTTGTGGCTAATGGTCCCTCCCTATAAACGTCCGAAATTACTGTATGTTTTTCGTTTTTCTAGCATTGAAAACCTAAACCATAACTAATCTGAGCAGTAATTGGCAAGCAATTTGAGTTTGTGAATTGCGGATCGATCATGATTGTACCTACGATACCTACAAATAAAAATAAAAATACCGGAAAAGGCTTTCTTGAAGCATGCATCACAACGTACCTATAGGAAAGCGAAATCCGTATAACATTTTTATGCCATTTATTTAGTTAGGAAAAACATTTGAGGAGCATTCCGGATGCCTCCCCCAGCGTACCATAGCTTTCTAGGTCCACCAGTGTCAGCGTGCGGTAGAATTTTATCACCGCATTTTGACACGTGTACGTACATAGTGGCCGTTTTCACGACGGAACTTTCGCAGAGGAACTTATTTGATGACTAAAAAGTACCTACCCTTAGAGGCCTTAACATCCCTCAAACTGAAATATTTTATGTTCAAAATAATTTTAGAAGTTTAAATCCGGGCATTTTTTGCCCTCAAATCACTTATTTATTTACAAACACAGCAATTTTTGGTTCTAGTAGCCCACCTTTCGACTATGAGGTATTAAATCAGCGTGGCAACTTGCTCCCTCTTTGCTCCCTCGGGTATCTAATTCCGGAATTCTTAAAAACAAGGAAAGTATATATCGAGTTCTCTTTTATACCTATTCAGTTATGTTTTAATGGTGATTAAAATATGACAAATTTTTTAATTACATTTCATATAAGAAAACACGCAAAACAATGAAACAAAAATAACTACGGCAGATAATTACCTTCAGGTATCTAATTCCGACCAATCAGCACCTCAGTAGGATATGACGTCATACAAGAATGGTGGTGAAGGCCGTTTGCAGTCCCGGCCGGTAGGTCACGTGACCGCCGGGCGCCTCGGGTCACGCGGCGGTCGGGAGTCGGACGCGGGGCGTGGTCGCGGGCGGACGCGCGGGGCATCATGCTTTGCTTTGCTTGCTTTGTCAACTTCATATAACTTACTATCGCATTCGTGTGAAAGCCAAACACTGCTCAGTGCCCTTAGAAATTGAGTTTTGGAAAGCTCAAGTCCCTATAGCTCCTCAGGTCGGCAACAGTTGAAGCCTCATCTGAACCCATGTGAAAAAACGAGGGTAAGGAACCTTGTGTTGCTTTTTCTTTTACCGTCATAATTATCTCAAACCATCACAATTTTGAGTTGCCACATTGTCTGCTTCACTACATTCGTGTAAAACTTGGGTGAAGGCTGGTGGCTCAAAGAAAGGTGAAGATATTTCTTTAAGTGCCTAATCCGTGAAATTGAAATATCCCGGCTTGACAAATCTACACTTTTCATTTTCTCCACGATACATTTTTTAAAATTGTTTAAATTTTATCTACACTTGTTAAAATCGGGGCTTTGGTTTTGTGTAAACTAGATCATAAAGTTTACTATAGTTTTGTGTAACCTGATGGTTGAAGAAAATAGTACCTAATTTTGCTAAAATGATGTGCGGAAATTTGTTGCTTTCCAAATCAAATTACTCATACCTATATTTCATTCAAAATTAGGAGGCATTATTACTGTTTTTTCTTGTAACATGAACTGAGTTTGGGTACGGTGCTCCGGAAACGTTGTGGAACTTTAAGCTAGCTAGAGCAGTTTCCATAAAAATTGTTTAGATAGTTGACATGGCTTGTTGACAACTCTTTTGCTATTTCTAAAAAAGTGAAAAAAATATTTTCCTGCATTAAGCACACAAGGCATGTTATTCTCATAAGCTATCGAATGTGTGTGTGTGTTTTTTAAGCTGTTTTTTTTTTAAGCTTTTAAGCTGTAACTTCAGTTACTTCACTTTAGAACATATTGCCCAGAATGCGTCACTGATCATGAGCTGGTATATCATATCATATGTAGCAAATACATACATGTAAATGAGAATAGTGTGTCATGAATTTTTGTGCATGCTTCTGGATCATCTGTAATTACATCAAAGGCTCGGCTCAAGAGTGTCCTGCCGACCAGCTTATGCCCAACCCTTTCTGTCCGCAGAACGTCGCCTGCGACTCCCGCACGCCGTTTGCCCCGGCCGTCCGTACTGGTCTTCGCGCTGCGAGCCGCGCTGGAGTTCGCGGCGGCGTCGTGGAGCTCCCATCGGGACGGCGTGTGATGCCCGCGTCGAGCTTATAAGCCGTGAGCTTCGATTGGCGGCTCACGCGGTCACCAGCTGTATGTACAGCCTCGGCCCCGACGACCCCGCTAATGGCCGAGACCGGCATACCCCCGGCATGGGTCCGCTGTC